GGGCTAAAAGACGTCATCAATCATGTAGTTACCAAAGTTCAAAGAAGATAGTTCAAAGTTCAATGTTTTTAAAGTTTGAATCAGGAACTTTAATCGTGGCAACTTTAACAAGTGGTTAAAGTTATAGCTGGGCTAAAAGATGTCATCAATCATGTAGTTACCATTACCAAATAAGACCAAACAATGCCATAGTTCATTAGGGACGCCCGACACTAATGGCTTTACAAGATTGTAAATACTATGCTATGTATTCTCACAAACCCAATGTACCTTCAGGCGGGGGGGGGGGGGGGGGGGTAGAAATAGCCTAAGCTACTCTATCCCTTTGAGATGTATTTCTTTCTTGTCTCAATAAACATACTTCAAAATGTACCTTCTTGTATATAAATAAATTAATAAATAAACCAGTATACAGCTCACCATTATATGATCTATATTATATGAAATATAATATATTATATGTATTATAAAATACACAAACCGGATCGACCATAACAAAATTAGGCTTCCAGGGAGACTTAATTACTTGCTAAGTTTTCAAGCATAATAAGCTAGAATAAAAATAATTTGGAAATCTAGAAAAAGCCTAATGTAGTCCCAATATTTAAAAACCTTAACAACGGCCTGATAGCTCAGTAGCACTTCCGATTCGTAGTCCTGAGGTTCCGGGTTCGATCCCCGGTGGAGGAAACAAATGGACAGAGTTTCTTTCACACTGATGCTCCTGTTCAGCTAGCAGTAAATAGGTACCTGGGAGTTAGACAGCTGCTACGGGCTGCTTCCTGTGTGTGTGTGTGTGTGTGTGTACTCACCTATTTGTACTCACAAATAGGTGAGTACACACACACACACACACACAGGAAGCAGCCCTTAGCAGCTGTATAACTCCCAGGTACCCATTTACTGCTAGGTAACAGGGTGTGTGTGTGTGTGTGTGTGTGTGTGTGTGTGTGTGTGTGTGTGTGTGTGTGTGTGTGTGTGTGTATGTGAAAAACAGTTAGGTTAGTAGTTAGTAACAGTTGAGAGACGGGCCGAAAGAGCAGAGCTCAACCCCCGCAAGCACAACTAGGTGAATGCATATTACTTAGAAATGGCGGAGCCGGATCCAGAATAGAGAGGCACTAGCATTAAGAGAGTACACACTTGGGAAGCAGAGTCCGGACTGGCCCACCTCCCCCACCTCTCCACACTTACAGTGAAAGTGTAAGTCAAGGTGCGTGGCTTCTTGAATTCACGGAATCACTGTCGATACTATAAGATCCAGATGGTATATGATTACGACGTAAAAGATACTGTGACTGAGAGACAAAGATATGGAAGAGAGAGAGAGAGAGAGATGGTGTTCTCTAGATGAGGGAGAACAATAGACTTGGGTAAATACTGGTTCGGTAACAGGGTTGTTGATTGGTGGAACCAATTACCGTGTAAGGTGGTGGCGGTGGGGTCCCTCCATTGTTTCAAGCGTGGGTTGGACAAGTATATGAGTGGGATTGGGTGGTTATAGATAGGAGCTGCCTCGTATGGGCCAATAGGCCTTCTGCAGTTGCCTTTGTTCTTATGTTCATTCTGCATTTTCCTTTATTCATCTGTTGGTAAACTGTGTAATTAGGTTATCAAGATTATAACTTGATTATCTAAGTGATTTTTGGGGTTCAGTTCCTGAGACTATTATGAGCCTCTGTAACTCCTTCCACTACAGCCCACAGGATGGGTATGGGGTCCACTACAGCCCACGGGATGGGTATGGGGTCCACTACAGCCCTCGGGATGGGTATGGGGTCCACTACAGCCCACGGGATGGGTATGGGGTCCACTACAGCCCACGGGATGGGTATGGGGTCCACTACAGCCCACGGGATGGGTATGGGGTCCACTACAGCCCACGGGATGGGTATGGGGTCCACTACAGCCCTCGGGATGGGTATGGGGTCCACTACAGCCCACGGGATGGGTATGGGGTCCACTACCACTCACAGGATGGGTATGAGGTCCACTACAGCCCTCAGGATGGGTATGGGGTCCACTACCACCCACACGATGGGTATGGGGTCCACTACCACCCACACGATGGGTATGGGGTCCACTACCACCCACACGATGGGTATGGGGTCCACTACCACCCACACGATGGGTATGGGGTCCACTACCACCCACACGATGGGTATGGGGTCCACTACCACCCACAGGATAGGTGAACTCGCTACTATTTACGTTTTCTGTAAAAATCTTTCGTTTTCTGTATTTATTTTACAGTGTAACTAAAATAAATTTGAGTATTTTTTTAATCTAATCAAATCAAAATCAAATGTTTATTCAGGTAAAAGTACTTACATAGAGGATTCGTTACAAACATAATGTTTGATTTATAGATAGAGCTAGTACATACAATACCTAAAGTCACTAGTACGCATAGCTTTTCGGGCAGGTGATTAATGTAGCATATCAGGTAAGATGAAACGGTACATTGTAGCAAGGTTTTATATCAACAAATTACTACAATATAAATTGACAGAGGTGACAACTCAATTACAAATCTGCTATTAGAACAATAACAAACTCTGGCCCCAGACAGCACTCGGCGCCCTTAATTAAATCATTGAATATGTTAGATATTAAGTTACTATACACATCCTCTCAAGTGTACTCTATATAATCCCAATCTTGACCTTAAAAGCTTCCTAAAAGGTTGTAACAGAACCCATGAGCACCACACCAGAAAAAATACATATTTGATATTCCAAGAGTACGACTTAATCAAACTTGAAATGCTTTACAAATCAAGGGACCCAGAATGTGGAATGACCTTCCCAATCATTGTCAAAGGCTGTACCTCTCTCAACCAGTTTAAGAGAAAAACTAAATACTACTTAATAAACTCCATGTAACCAACCTTACCCCCTAAATGTCAACCCATGTCTTACTATTTTCAAACAATACTGTTTGTTGACTAACTTGTATAACTACTGATTTCCGCCATGTTTTTTTCACCCTTTTTCGCTTTACAACTCAATTTATGCTTTGATCTCATTTAGTATTAAGTTTTAGTCTAAATGTTTTTTCCCACACCTTGCCTGAAACGCTGTGCGTATTAATGGCTTTAGGTATTGTATATACTAGCTCTATTTATAAATTATGTTTGTAACTCATCTTGTATGTATATACTTTTACCTGAATGAACATTTGATTTGATTTGATTTGATTACACTGGTAAAGATATATGTCTTGTATTAATATACGAAAGTACTTAAGGAAATTCCTGTTTCAATTTTCCTCCGTGGTCTGACACTGTCACATTTTTAATCACGTGTTTATTTTCGTGATATACACACATATATGTCTTAAGTACTAGTATTAGGGAAGTGGGTAGTACAAGTTACGTTTGAAGCACAAGGTAGGAAACTATGAGGATGAAATTAGGCACTCCTTGGTTGTACTTTTGAATTAGGTCTAGGTTGGACAATTTTTAATTCATCTGCAACCAGCAACCAGGAGGCCTGGTCGACGACCGGGCCGCGGGGACGCTAAGCCCCGGAAGCACCTCAAGGTAACCTCAAGGTAAAGGTATCTGGGAGTTAGTTCCATAGACTGGGTTATTTTATTTGCGTTTAGTGTTTGCACAGATTTAGGTTAACTGGAGATATCAAACAGATATCTGGTGTGGTGCTCATGGGTTCTATAAATTTCAGATGAAGATTAGAATTTAGGAGTACGTGTAAATTACACATGAGAATGTGTGGAGTGAGAGGAGGGAATGTGAACACCTGAGAGACATCAGAAGTATGTATAGAATAATGTACCTTACATTGTTTGAGTTAGGAAAACACTATTTGTCAAATATTGATACTGTTCTTAAAAGATTTCCCCATTTTGCACCTGCAAGATAACGTAAGCTTTTAAGGGTTGATAGATGTTAATCTTCTTGTTTGAGGAGCTGTTCACTTGAGACAGTTAAGCAAGTCCCAGCTGTGTCTGGGTACAAGTGACAGGATGAACAACCAAGCGGGTTTTCTTCCTATTGGGGAGTGTTGTACATTCTGCTATGGCGGTGTGTCCACTCACAAGATGAGTGGCGCTGCCCAATACTGTCACTATGGCGGTGTGTCCACTCACAAGATGAGTAGCGCTGCCCAATAAACTCGCCCCTCGGGGCAAAATTTAAAAAAAAAATTAAGGAGGGAGTTTTCAATTAAAAACGCCAAGCCATCGCTACTATATAGCACTTGGAAGGGGTTAAGTTAAGGATTTGGGATGGGACGGGTGGAAGGAATGGTGCCCAACCACTTATAAATAAATAAATAAATGTTTATTCAGGTAAAGTACATACATACAACACGTTTTACAAAAATTGATAGATTTATAGATAGAGCTAGTACATACAATGCCTAAAGCAGGAAATGTAGATGTTTATCTCTCAGAATGTTTGGTAATATGTTTATTATTTGTGATGTGTATATATGTATGTATTAACACGTTGTACTGAACGGGGTGAGAATAGCTTGAGCTACCTCATCCCTTTGTGTGTATTTTACCTCAGTAAACTTATTTCAATTTCAATTTCAATGCCTAAAGCCACTATTACGCAAAGCGTTTCGGGCATTTCGGACTTGGAAGGTCGGGGATTGAACGCCCTCGTCGAGGCCTAGTATTAGTGTCCCCTGATTTGTCTATACAGTATACCTAGGTCATAAAAGTATTTGTGTGTACGTCTGATACCATACTACTTGTGAAGGAGGAAATGTATATGTTTACCTCTCAGAATGTTTGGTAATATGTTTATTTGTGATGTGTGTATATGTATATATTAACACGTTGTACTGAACGGGGTGAGAATAGCTTGAGCTACCTCATCCCTTTGTGTGTATTTTACCTCAATAAACTTATTTCAATTTCAATTTCAATGTCCCCTGAGGTAAATTAAGATAAAAGAGAGAGACATCTAGTGGCTAGAAGGAGTGTTAATGTGGTTGCCAGTTATGCATGTTATGGTGGCCGGCGGCCAGTGTCCCGCAGTTCTCAGTGACGGCCGACCACCGGGGCGACCATGGCTGCCGTGCTCGGCAATATTACCCATAAAGTGGTCTCCTCTGCCCTCTCCGTGGGCTCCAAATGTCTGCTCAAGAACACCGGCTCGGCATATTTTGCCAAGTAAGTGCAGCTGGGCCAGTAACCTGCAGGAGAGAGCTGTGTGTCTGGGATCTCTCGTGTGTTTACGGCCATCAGCTGATCCTCTCTAAAATAGCTCACGAGAATAAAAATTGAAATACGTCTTGGTATTTGCCTGATTTTACCCCTAGGGCCACCATCTACCTAGTGCCCATGACTTGGATTGGAAACCGGCGGCTTGTCAAAGGGGGCTCTCCAATATTTGTTGTCTTTTATATGAAATTTTGTTTGCAATTGGATTTTGAAATGCAATGGTACTGTTCTATTCATCCTTGACTCTCAAACTGGAATTCCAGGCGAGACAGATGTGGTTGGGCACGTTTCCATTTACCTAGTGCCTCCAAATCCTTATCCTGATCCTAGTGCTATATACTGTAGTTGTAATTTTATGTATTTTGTATTTATTTATATATACAAGAGTTCTTACATTTTCATACACTAGTCGTTGATCCTAATATTTCCGGAATATGACCCGCCAAATCGTTTAACAACCAGGTAACCCATTCACAGCTGGGTGAACAGAGGCTACAGTTAAAAATTGACGTCCAGTAAAACCTCCCCGGCCAGGATACGAACCCAGGACAAAGCGCTTGCAAAACGCCAGGCGAGCGTCAACCCCCACACCACAGGGACTGCTAGTAGCTGCTAGTAATATTGCATACAGTAAAGGCTTGGCACTTTATCCTGATAATTTCCTCCTTCACCTAGTGCCTCGGTTCACCTAGCAGCAAATGGGTATCCGGGACTTGGTCAACAGTTGTAATTTAACTTGGGGAGTGGAGGTGGGGGAGGTCGCCGTGATTGACGAATAAAACCATTGAGTCAGATTCCAAAAAATCACTGAAAGTTTAACAATTGTGAACTGCAGTTAAAAAGCCAACCAAATCACTAGAAATAGTCAGATGTAACTTTGATTTCAGAGAAAAGAATGTAGTTATTCAAGTGTAAAACTCACTGGTGCACTTGGATTATTGTATCAAAGCATGCGAGCCTCGTGTTCAGAGAGACGGCTGTTTTGGAGAAAGTTCAATACCGGGCATCACAAATTTATTTATTTATTTATTTATTTATTTATTTATTTATATACAAGAAGGTACATTGGGTTTGTGAAAATACATAGCATAGTATTTACAATCTTGTAAAGCCACTAGTACGCGCAGCGTTTCGGGCAGGTCCTTAATCTAACAGATAATTTTAAGTTGGTAAATTCTAGCAGAATTAATAAAATAAGGTACATTGCAAGAAATAAATGAGATGAGAGAGATTAGTAAGTATATTAAAGCACATTGGTATATTAAAGCTCTGATTGATTACATTGACAACTTGATTGGTAATTTAAGCAAGATTAAGTCACCGTACAGCAGATTGACAGTACATATAAGAAGACAGCAGTGATCACAATGGTAAAGATGTTCGGATTGGGTACATAAAGATTGGGTAGCAATAGATACAGTGCAATTTTAAAGCAAAAGGTAAAAAACTATGAACATGAAATTAGGTACCTTTTAGATTTGTTTTTGAATGATGCAAAAGTTGGACAGCTTTTCAATTCATTAGGGAGTGAGTTCCATAGACTGGGTCCCTTTATTTTCATATTGTTTACACAGATTAAGTTTGACTCTGGGGATATCAAAGAGAGATTTATTTCTGGTGTAGTGATAATGGGTCCTATTACATCTGTCCAGTGAGAGTTTCAGAGCATGGTTTGCATTTAAGAACAGGGTTTTGTAAATGTAATTGACACAAGAAAATTTGTGGAGTGAGATTATGTTTAGCATGTTTAGGGAGTTAAACAAGGGGGCTGAGTGTTGTCTGAAAGCAGAACTTATTATTCTGATAGCAGATTTTTGCTGGGTGATGATGGACTTGAGGTGGTTTACAGTGGTTGAACCCCATGCACAGATACCATAATTAAGAGAGGAATAGATTAGTGCATAATATAGAGAGATGAGAGCAGAGTTAGGTACATAATATCTGATTTTGGAGAGTATCCCAACTGCTTTTAGAGACTTTCTTAGTTGTGTGTTGTATGTGGGTGCTGAAGTTGAGTCTCTTGTCTAGGAATAGGCCAAGAAACTTGCCATCATTTTTATTGCTAATGTTTACATTATCTATCTGAAGTTGAATTGCATTTGTAGATCTGCTTCCAAATAAGATGTAGTAGGTCTTTTCTATGTTAAGTGTTAGTTTGTTGGTTGACATCCATAAGTGGCAAACATCCAAATAATTCCTGAACTAAGATGACTCGTACCAGTAATGATTGAGGGTCTCGGCTAACAGCACTGCAAACCAGACATGACAGGTCTGATCTTATAGAAACTTTTAAACTATTAAACAACTTGGAGGATATTGATCCAGACAACTTCTTCATAAGGTCAGATGTAACACAAACAAGGAGCAACGGTTTCAAGCTCAACAGTCCACAATGTAGGAGTGATAACAAATTATCAATCCATTTCCAATGGTTAATTGGATTTTGAATATAAAATTTTCCTGCTGTTACTGTATACATAATTTATTATGATTAGTAGTACCAGTACTAACATTACTGAAGAGTACATTAAAACTTTAATTTTCTTGTACATTTTTCAATAACGTACATTTGGTATGAAGGAAGCTCATGTGCGAGTGTGTTTCAGCCCTGTTCGAGGTGGAGCCAAGTGGTACCCTGATGCAGAATGGCTGAAACAGTTTTCAGGCCCAGTGATGGTCCCATACGAAGGTATGAATATGGAAATGACGTCGTGGAATGCCAGGTTAGCACCCGTTGAAAAGAAAGTCCGTAATGTGACCATTAACTTTGGACCCCAGCACCCAGCGGCCCACGGAGTGCTGCGGCTAGTGCTGGAGCTAGATGGTGAGGTGAGTTACTCTATACTCTGGTCTTCTGGTAGAATAGAAGCTGGTTATATGCTGTAATTCTTTTTATCCCCCATTACTTTAAGCTAAGTAAAAAGATTTGTACAAACAAAAATGTATTGGGTTTATTATATTGTAGCATTGTAGGATTTAACATATAAACAGATGAAAGTATTGTATTAATACTTGTAGTGTAGTGGTCGACAAGAATTCATGTGCACCTTAGGGACAATTGTGAAAAAATTGGGAGATACTGTATATGAAAAATGTAATTTTCTCAGAAGATGGGTACTAGCTAAAAAATTGTGAGCAGAACCATGAATTAAATGCAATACAGTACTACATTAGCTCATAAAAGTTATGCTTCCACTCAAAAATTTGTTTGCGTAATGTATGTAGGTGTTTATACAGTCAACTAGTAGTATGCATCCATCAGTCTTGGGAGACTATGGAGTGGCCTCTCCGGGGTGCAAAGCCAGGATAGGTTGATATGGGGCAGAAGCTGTTACCCATGCAGCAGGTCCCCCTGCATATAGCATTTATACCCCCCTTTCCCATTTGTAGTCACAAATAATGAAGTTGGTAATTCTAAAACCAGCAATGTTGTTCTTACCTATCAGTGACTACAGGGGGAAGAGATTTAGCTCTTTATGCTGTTCATACGTTGTGTGCTAATTATTCCTCTCAACATTAAAGTGTTTATTTCGTTTCTTTTAAAGTTGTGAATTGAATTGGCTTCAACAACCTCTTCCTTCAATGTATTCTGCTTCATGCATTTAATGGTCCTCACCTTTATAACGTGTTTCTTCAATAATTTATTACATGAAATAAATACCCAGTAGATGGAAAATAAATGTAAATCGGTAGTGGTTGCCATTACTCCCTCAGTTCTTGTACATTTAGTATCACTTAGAAATATTGTTTGTTTAAATATTAATATACAGTGCTTTGTCATGAGCTTGAATGTGGTATGTTTATCTAGTGATCTGTTGGTTGGGAGAAAGACCAGTCAAGCCACTACCTACTCTCCTTCATTTCTTACACACATGGCATAGATTTCATATTTCATTAATAAGATTGCTTTGATAGGCTTATGCAGTGGTAAGATTACTCTTGTGCTGAGGAGGAAGGAGCAGGGAACAAAACATGGTACCCAATTTCTATTGTAAATAGCTTATATACAGGAAAGGTGATTTGTGAATACCATGTCAGCCACTGTAGGACGACCAAACCACACACCAAAAAGCGAAAAAATTACACCATTTCAATCCATTCTGAACCAGTATCATGTGACTTGATAATGGTCCAGGGCAGACCAAAATGTCGTCATTTCTTCTTTCTGTGTGATTTGGTCATCGTATCTTCAGCCATGTTATTGTGACTCGGCTCCAGATAAAGAAAAAATCATTAGCACTATTTGTAGTGTGTGTATATGTGGCATTGTAATCTTTGGACCTGATGACTCCTCCCTGCTCACTTCCCACAGTACTAATGACTGGAAGACATTGATGACTTTCCATTCATCTGGGCTCTAGGAGACTCGAACAAATGATGACTATGCATTGATAACTATGTTGCAGTCATCGGTGTCTTCCAGTGGTACCACATATTGTTTCCAATTTTTTCTATGGCTGTACACCTGTTCACTTCGACCACAACTGTGTGATTTGTACAAGTCACTTACAAATACAATCCAAATCTGCATTTAGATTATACAGTATTATAAGGATTGTGTTCTGGTATTACTAGGACATTTTCTTGTGTATATGTAATGAAATTTTGTGTAAACTAGCTTAGTTATATATGTTTTGATTAAACATTTGCAGATTTCCAATTGCTGCCACATTCCTTAGCACTAAAATATGCCATAATTAAAGTTTCGATGCACAAATTTGTTAACAAAAGTTCTCAAGTTCCTAACAATAACTTTTAATCACTGTATACTAGTCACTTTACATGTCTTTAGCACACGGTGTTGGCCTCTTGACCGGGGAAATATACCATACCTGTAATGCTTTGTTTGATCACATTTATATAAGAGAAAATCTGTTCAAGGTTGGGGACCAGATGCTTGGGGTGAGCCTTGCCAAATTTTGCAGGGTGACTGTGCTTTGTCTGGGAATGGTCATAAGACAGGTCAAGGCTGAATCCCACGACTTTTGCTCCCCCATTGCACGAAATGGCAAATTACTCGCTTATTTCCAATCTCGCTAAATACCGGACTCCTGTTGATTCATCCAACATTATTTTCTACATTATTAAATTTTAGTTTCTCTTATGTAGGTTATTGACAAATTGAGTGTATAGGGAAAATGGTTACAGGGATGCAGGGAAGGTAGTGAGGGGGTGCAGAAGAGTAGGGAAGGTGGTGAGGTTATCTTCTTGAGGTTATCTTGAGATGATTTCGGGGCTTTAGTGTCCCCGCGGCCCGGTCCTCGACCAGGCCTCCACCCCCAGGAAGCAGCCCGTGACAGCTGACTAACACCCAGGTACCTATTTTACTGCTAGTTAACAGGGGCATAGGGTGAAAGAAACTCTGCCCATTGTTTCTCGCCGGCGCCCGGGATCGAACCCAGGATCACAAGTCCAGCGTGCTGTCCGCTCGGCCGACTGGCTCCCCCGACCTGAGGGGGAGGAAAGTTTTATAAATGGGGAACTGAGTGGTACTCGCCTAGTTGTGCTTGCGGGAGTTGCGCTTCGGCTCTTTGGTCTTCCCCAGTGGTACCTGGGTAGTGATGATGGTTAGAGGGAAGGTAGAGAATTATCAGGGGGAAAGTGCCAAGCCATTATGACTATATAGCACTTGGAATGGGTCAGGATAACCATTTGGGATGGGACGGCGGGAGGAATGGTGCCCAACCACTTGGATAGTCGGGGGATTGAATGCTGACCTGCATGAAGCGAGATTGTCTCTCCCATCCAGCCCAAGTGGAAGGTGTGAAGACAGTATTTAATGAGGATGGATGAGCGTAGTGTAGATGGTTACAATGAGGAAGATGGTGTGTAGTGTAGATGGTTACAATGAGGAAGATAGTGTGTAGTGTAGATGGCTACAGTGAGGAAGATAGTGTGTTGTGTAGATGGTTACAATGAGGAAGGTAGTGTGCATTGTAGATGGTTACAATGAGGAAGATAGTGTGTAGTGTAGATGGTTACAATGAGGAAGATACTGTGTAGTGTAGATGGTTACAATGAGGAAGATAGTGTGCAGTGTAGATGGTTACAATGAGGAAGATAGTGTGTAGTGTAGATGGTTACAATGAGGAAGATAGTGTGTAGTGTAGATGGCTACAATGAGGAAGATAGTGTGTAGTGAAGATGTCCTCTTACCCGAGCAATGCCAGGTACCCCCTCTAGCAAATTAAAATTATAAATATACAGCGTCGGCTTACTAAAGATAACTGGTCACCACTCAAAAAGATAACCCCATAGTATTCTTGATTAAAGAGATGGTATAATGGCTAAGAGTTTTTCTTGCATTTACATCCTGGTATAAAAATATAATTTTGGGTTATGTATTGACAGACTGTGGCTCGTGCTGACCCTCACATAGGATTGCTGCACCGTGGGACAGAGAAGCTTATCGAATACAAGACTTACACACAGGCTCTGCCTTACTTTGATCGGCTAGACTATGTATCTATGATGTGCAATGAACAAGCCTTTGCTCTGGCTGTGGAAAAGCTTTTAGGTTTGGAAGCTCCAATCAGAGCCAAATATATTCGCAGTAAGTTTGTAAATTTCTTGGTATTTATTGTACCCAGTTAACAGCATCTTTTACTTAGCTTTACACATTATATAAAGAACTTGTCGGGCCTCCATAGTTCCCTGTGGTTTCATTTATGAAGGTGGCAAGTGGTAATTGTGTAACGTGTTGCTTCTGAACCTTTAACTGCCATCTCTTAAACTATGAAGTTTTCATCATCTGCATGGAACATGTTCTTATAAAACTATCACGTCATAATTTCCAAATATGTTATGGCTGCCGAAATTCTTCACCATTAACAATTCCCTTTCATAGCACGTAGACATTGTCATCATCAGAATAAGAAGCTTAATCCATAACAACCAATACATGTCATTACAATACTGGCTGGACTGTGGCAAGCTAAACAAAATTTACATTTTAGGTTTAGAGGGAGAGAACATTTAGCTAATAATTGCAAGATAATTTGTAAAGAGAGTGAAGTTTAATGCTGGAGCAGTAAGACATATTTGGTCTAACAAAGGTTGTGAACAATTTCTTTAGTATTTCACCATCCATTTATTTAGAAGCAATTCTGAAATTTGAAAGCATAGCATAGGCTCCTCGCACAATGTTCTTTAGGTCCTTGGGTGACAGTTTTCTGTCCAGAACCACCCCACACTCTCTCTTTGTCAGAGGTCTTTAAAACCCTTTTCATATAATTTGTAGGTTGCATGTGAATTCTTTAAATTCCATCTGCCAAGTGATGCATTATTCACTTTTGTCCAGGTCATCTTGAAGGACATGTCAATCATGTAAGTCTCTTGTCTTTCCTAAGAGCTTAGCATTATTAGCAGACATGTTCATATAAGTCTGTTCAATTAATATGAAATGTGTGTATAATTACACACTCGTTCCCTGTGTGTAATTACCTAAGTGTAGTTACGGAATGAAAGCTATGCTTGTGTCCCGTCTTCCAGTACTGTCATATAACACTTTGAAGCTACTGATGGTAGCGATGCTACTATGGTGGGGGGGGGGGTGTTTTATGTATATGTGTATGTATACTTGTATCTCTTTTTATGCAGTGTAAAACTATTAATTATTTACTGTACAGTATTGTATTTGTGTAATCTTTTAAATATACAGTACAGTACTGATATTATTTTTTTTATTATGTGTATACTATATTATCAAATGTTTGACTTGCAGCTATGTTTGGTGAATTGACACGCATCTTGAACCACTGCATGTTCTTGGGAACTCACGCATTGGATGTTGGAGCACTAACTCCATTCCTGTGGCTGTTTGAGGAGCGTGAGAAGATGATGGAGTTTTATGAGCGAGCTTCTGGGGCTCGTCTCCATGCTGCATATGTTCGACCAGGAGGCGTGGCCATTGTAAGTGACTCATTTGATTCATGTTTTGTTTATCCTGTCACCTAATATATGATCTGAGTGTGAGTACTTCAATAGCCTCATTTCCATAGTGCATTAATTTTGGTTCTTTCAACCTCTGTGAAAATTTTTAGCATTTACATTAGAATGGTTTGAAGAAAAATTTTCTTATAATACACACTTAAGATGGCACATTTTTGCAATTAAGGCCTGACAAATTCTCATCCCATCTTTATATTTTCAAATGGATGTGTAATCAAAAGAGGAGGAAGACAGTATACTGTAGATATATTGATAAATGTTGTAGTTATGTATTTTGTCTATATGGATACATATGGATATATGTATCATATGGATACATGGATATACAGCAATGGACTCAATAACAGTCTGGAGCTAAGCCTCTTTGAATTTGCTATATTAAAGTGCACATGGTGTTAATGAAGTAAAATATAAAGCAGAGTAGTAGTGTACCACACATAGCAGACACTGATTCACAGCAAGTGAAATATAATGGGTTGACTAGGAGAAATACTTAGTGTGTGGACACACTTGAGTGGCTGATAAAAATTAAGATCTTTTTAAAATGATTTATAAATGTCTTTGGCATATGCTAAGCTTATTTATTTTATTTATTTATTTATTTATTTATTTATTTATTTATATACAAGAAAATATATTGGATTTATGAGAGTACAGAGACGAAGTTTTACATTCTAGTAAAGCCACAAGCACGCGTAGCGTTTCGGGCAGAATTTTTAATGATGCATACCATTGCTTAAAATATTACAGTACTAACCTTTTGGTTAAACACAATCCTTGTCAAATCCAGAAACATCTCAATTTCCTTTCCCATTTTTCTTTATTCCTAGTTTTTTAATTACCAGAAATTTTTAGAAAAGATCATTTGAAGGTTAGGTAAGTTAGGACCTGTGAGTTTGCTATCCTTCAGATAATGGGATGTAGTTTCACACACTTGTACCGTTTTATTTTCCTGCATAAGATTGTTTGTGTGCCTCAATAAAAACTTTTAGTAGTAGTAGTAGTAGCTGACATCCATCAGTCTCAGGAGACTATGGAGTTGCACTCTGGTGTCAGCCTGGTCTGGAGTGGTCTCACCAGGGCGCAAAGCCAGGGTAGGTTGATTCGGAGGGAGAAGCTGTTACCCAGGCAGCAAGTCCCCCTTCTCCACGGCGCTGAAAGGGGGGATTCTTGAGATTATCTTGAGATGATTTTGGGGCTTTTTTTTTTTTTTTTTTTTAGTGTCCCCGCGGCTCAGTCCTCGACCAGGCCTCCACCCCCCAGGAAGCAGCCTGTGACAGCTATCACCCAGGTACCTATTTTACTGGTAGGTAACAGGGGCATAGGATGAAAGAAACTCTGCCCATTGTTTCTCGCCGGCGCCTGGGATCGAACCCAGGACCACAGGATCACAAGTCCAGCGTGCTGTCCGCTCGGCCGACCGGCTCCTTAACCGACCTGGGACCTGGGAATTTTTAACACCTCTAACATCTGCTGGTTACCCCATAATTCCCACAATTCTGTTCTCACTGGTTTAAATAGGACATCCCTATTGGCCTGATGGATGATATCTACGAGTTCATCAGCAAGTTTGGCGAGCGCCTTGATGAGGTGGAGGATGTACTCACTAGCAATCGTATTTGGAAACAACGAACAATTGGTATTGGAACCGTTTCTGCTGAAGATGCTCTTAACTATGGTTTTAGGTAGGTTTTCGTTGTTTATTTTGTTTTGTCATGAACTGAGAATAGTTTTACACAAATTTTCTTGAAATTTAGTACGGTGCTCTGGAAGGAATTTGTGATCCCTGCTTCCCAATCCTGGATGTAATAAGGCAACCATTCCTTATTAGTGAAATTGTTTACAATATTAAAGCAAAACTGTTCTTGTGTATACAGTAATTGTAATATTAACAATAACAGCATCACTAACAATTTTATCTGTAGCCGACTAATTTTCCGCTGCATTGCTTTATCATTTTCACTTTCAGCATAATGGGCAAAGCTCTAAAGTTTAACCATTAAAATACCGTATAGTACAGGTATGACAATTATTTCCCTACTCGCTATATATATATATATAGTGCACATTTACCTTTCTTTCTCTTTTCTCTCTTTTTCTGTTCATTATCTTCTCCTACGTTCCCTCGTTTTCCTCTTCTCATTATTTTCTCCTTCTCTTTCGGGGGTTATAATAGGAACTGCCTCGTATGGGTCAATAGGCCCTCTGCAGTTCCTACTACCAGTCCATCTACTACACCTTACTTTGCTCCTCATCTCTCGTGCCTATTTATTGCCTGTCTCTTCTTCATCACAATCGACTTGTGAATGGTCCAGGACAGACTGAAACAGCGTCGTCCCTTCACATTCTAGTGTGTGGTCTGGTCATCATACTTTAGCCACGTTATTGTCTCATCGCCTGCACATGATACTTTTCGGAACATCACTTGTCACTTGACTAATTTCTTGAAAATTAATCGGAAAATGAATTGTCAATTATGTCAAAATACACTTCTTGTATTTTGATGTAAAATGGTGATAGATGGCATAATGATTTCAATGAAATACAGTATCAAGAAACTAGTGGAAAAATGACTTGAGTGCCAATGACAAAACATATATATCTTTGACTGAAAACAAATAATCAGACCGTTCAAATACAATAATGAATGGTGGAACGGCGCCACTATATACATTGCCTCAATTTTCCAAGTTGTCTAATGCTACATATAGTACAGTACTGTATATAATTACAAGAGCAAAAATAATCAGAGGAAGAAATTGACTCGATAAAATATGCTATAATGTTTGTAAATTGATACTAGCATGCATAATTATATACATACAATACCTGTGCTGTGAAAGATTTGCACTGAATTGTCTTCAATGCACAAGACACAATAACTTTTACGAGTTATGTACAGCAAAAAAGCATTTTAAATAAGATAATTAGTGAAAGATATTGAGGTATGAGTTGTGACGAGAGAAGTGTTTTGCACCGTTACCAGTAGGCAGTGATTGGTCCTACTGGCTGGATCAGAATTGTAATACTATAGGCCTATTGACTCCTATACCCAGAACGTTTGATTTATTTTCTTGGTTAAGAGCTACTATTCAACACAAATAACAAGTCTTGCGGTGCCTTCACTTAGCAGTAATTACCATTTTCTAATATTTTTTTCAAAGACTCAAGAATTATGAACTCTGAAAAGATATTTATTTGGTAAATTGAGAGCTTTTTGGTCATCCAGACACCTGTTCCTGAAACCAAGACTTGTTCCTTTGGCAAACCGTTTCCAGAGCATCGAGGTTTCCACGCTAAATTTCAAATGTAGATAGAGCCCAAAAGAATCTCAGGAATCAAGTTTATTGACAGTTGAAAAGTGGGACCAAGAGCTGAAGCTCAACCCTTGCAAGCACAACTATGCGAGTACTAAAGAGTACTGTACTGTAGCATGATCTGGACTTTATCTCATTGTAAAGACAGTGTTTAGAACTGACTTAAGTACCATACTGGAGAAGCTTTGATACCAGGATATAATTAAATTAAGGCCATCAAATGACCTAAAATTTTATTTTTGTATAATTAAACAAAACAGTATATCGTAAAATACATTGAAGATTTGAATCCCTGACTTATGATCATGAATTAGGCAAAGCTCATGTTCATTATAATAATGTAATGATTATGTATTAATTTGCCTTAACTTCTCGGTTTTCATTGTAATGTTAGGGGGGCCACTGCTATTATGGCAAGTTAACACCTGGAGAAAACCTGTGTTAGAAACCTATGTTTTCTTTGTGAAAGCTTTTTAACAGCAGCACCTTGATGGGAGTCTTTATTATTATGCAATATTTCTTAAGATTTAAATGGGTGAATTTTCTCTAAAGCTCGTTAATAATTTGAGTAAGAATTTATTTCTGCATTTTTGGCTGCCTTGTTTATATAACAATACAGTAGCATCTTCCCAAGTTATTATAGCAGCTTGAAAGTGCTTGTTAAATAGTTTTCCTATATAATCTTGTGTAATTTGTCACCATAATTAAGAAATAATTTTGTATTTTGTATTGTCAGTGGTGTGATGCTGCGAGGATCTGGCATCAAGTGGGATTTGCGGAAGACTCAGCCTTATGATGCGTATGACCTAGTTGAATTTGATGTCCCAGTGGGAAAGAATGGAGACACGTACGACAGGTATCGTAAAAAAATAAAATTACTCTAGTATGGTATAATTTTTTTTTTCATAACCTATGTTTATTACCAATTTTACAGAATTGGGAAGGACTTGTTGGGATGGGATGGAAAAATGTTTAAGGAAAAGAAATGCATGAACACTGATAACTAACCTTCCATACTAGAGTACAAATTATACTGCATTATAATAGGATATAATGTGCTATAATTCTATAATTCCATAATATAATTCTATAATTCTATAATTCTATAATATAATAGTGCTATAATTCCCTCCGTCCAGTCAGTGCTGGTGTTTGCTCCTCCTCTCCAGTGGGGGAGTGTAACTCCTGTTTGAAGCCTTGAGGTTACCTTGAGGTGATTTCGGGGCTTAGTGACCCCACGGCCCGGTTGTCGACCAGGCCTTTCCATACAAGGCCAGGCCCTTCCATATTAACCATGGAATGATATCATACCATACTAGAGCTTGGTAACCTTTTCCTTTTCTTGGTTTAGGAAAGGTTCTGGCCTAAGCATAGTTAAGAGAATTCAGTCCCCATAAGCATTTGACATCTTTAGGTTTTGTTTTCAGACAGGATAGCACATAAAATTGCCATAATGTTTTGTATAGTATATAAATTTTGGTGTATCCAGGTACTTGATACGTGTTGAGGAGATGCGACAATCCCTGCGCATTATTGAGCAGTGCATCAACAACATGCCTCCGGGTGAAATACGTGTGGATGATGCTAAGGTTGCTCCACCATCAAGGGCTGAAATGAAGGTATGCACTTTAAATTAATTTATTATATAATTTTTTTCTGGGGGATGTGGGGCATCTACAGTATTTGAAAGTAATAATCTTGCTGCTTTTATTAGAAGTAAAAAAGTAGAGGGCAAGAGAAAAATAAGTATTGCTTCAGCAAGCTGCTTGGTGTCCCTTCTTTCCTATAATCATTAAATGAGGTTTTGAAGCTTCCAGTGCTTTTGGCATAGACTATCATCTTATTTGATTTATTCCATCCATCACTGGAAAATAAATTACCAGTATGTAATCTATTTAGTTTTTTTTTTTTTTTTTTTTTAACTTTAATCTATGGTACTACTACTACAGTATCTTATTTTCAATGCTGCATAATTTCCTATCCATATTTCTTCTTTCTCCATAAGCCTTTCAATGTAGTGATTTCATATTAACCATCAAACAGCACAGCAGTCATTTTTATGCAGTACACCCCCCCCCCCCCAAAATATATTGTAGATACGCATCACCGTGCCCCAATTTCTCTTTTCTGCTTTTGAGTCTTGGTTATTTAGTTACATTCCCCCCCCCCTTCCTGATTCTTCTATAGTTTTGTTGTTGATTCAATTTTCAATTTTCAATTTTGTTGTTGATTCCTTGCACTACACGTATAATTGTATCCAAATTTTCCCTTGTGTAGCTCTTTGTCCTTGATGTCTTGTGTACTTTTTACCCGTTTCTTTCTAATTTTGTCTCGGATATTCATCTAGCTGCTGTAATTTGTGGCTTCTCAACTGCCTTCTTAATTAAGAATTATGCTAACATAAACCATATTGTAGCTGATATTGTGGCCATCATTAGTACTCTGGATATTGTATTCGGAGAAGTTGATCGTTGGAGAGAATGGTTAGGGTGTTTTCTTGTGGGAAAAAGAATTTATCTTGATTTTCTGGTTATGCAAATTTTACAATTACTAAACTACTATATTTACATTTCAGACTTCAATGGAGGCACTTATTCATCACTTCAAGGTGTTCACTCAGGGCTACCAAGTCCCTCCCGGTGCCACCTTCACAGTTGTTGAAGCTCCAAAGGGTGAATTTGGCGTCTACCTGGTTTCTGATGGATCATCAAAACCCTACAGGTAAATCCTTGACACAATTTTTTAATTATCAGGGGGAAAGCGCCAAGCCGTTACCACTTCATAGCACTGGGAAGGGGTCAGGATAAGGATTTGGGATGGTGCCTAACCACCTGGATGGTCGGGGATTGAACGCCGACCTGCATGAAGCAAGATCGTCGCTCTACCGTCCAGTCAAAGTGGCTGGATATCCTTGACATAGAAAACAATTTAAATGTGCTGTGCATCATATTGATATTAGCTTTTCCTCATTTGGAGCCATTCTTTTTTCCCCAAGCACAGTTCACCAAGTGTTCTATAGTCATGTTTCAGTATAGCCAGTTACTGCTGGGAACAGAGGCAAATGGAATGAAAGTATCCAGTCTTTCATTCCTGGTCAGGATTCTAACACAAGAGGACTTGGGTTAGAATCCACTTGGGTCATGACCAGCATTTTGTTTAATACACTTTGAAACCTTGTTTCTTTTGGAAACCCCTTTTCTTGACAAGCTGGTCTAGTGGATTTTCATCAGGCATTTGAGCAATTTTGTTGCCTAAGGCTGAGGGAGTTTACAGCTAGAATTCCATTTATGTACTCGTGTAGCTAAATAGATTTATTACTTCAGAAGTTTCTTTTTTCCTTTAACATTTTTGAAGTTTTTTCCTCAAAAACCTTTCAGCCTCTGATAGCCACCTGTGTGTTGATTTCCAGAGTATAAACAATCATATTTTGTGAATTTCAAAGGTGGTTAAGGCTGCCTAAAGTTCTGGGTTATGTAGGGAGTTGAGGTGTTTACCCGAGAGACTGCAAGCAATGAGAGCAGCAATTAAGTAAACTAGGGTATACAGGACTTGGAATGGACCGAGTATGATAAAAATACTTCTATGACAATAGAAAAGTAATGCATTCAAGAAATACATGCAAGACCTTGGAAAGAAGCACGTGAAAGTATTATGTACAGTGCTGTATTATTAGTTTTAATTTTATGGTTCTGTCATCACTGCTGCATTCATATTTTGTAATTTTATTTTTCAGATGCAAGATCAAAGCACCAGGCTTTGCTCATCTAGCTGGATGTGATATGGTTGGGAAAAACCATATGTTGGCTGATATTGTGGCCATCATTGGTACTCTGGATATTGTATTCGGAGAAGTTGATCGTTAAAGAGAATATATTTGCTAAATTGGTAGTGACGTAACTATAATTTATGAACCAATGATAAAACTTGAGTGCTAGTTATGATTTAGACATTGAGAAATTTCACAATTAGTATGAAAATTTATGGATAGCTTTACCTGAACGTAACATAAGCTAGTTTCAGATGTACAGTTATTTTACATTAATGTTCATGTATGTACATATTTTGAATGAAAAGTTCCAAGACATGTAATAAAAGGTAAAACAATGATATCTTACATTTGTCAATGAGATAACCTTGTGTGTAATTCCACAACCTGTCCTTGGTATACCATAGTACTTATGTCACACAATGCTCATAGTTCCTATGCTGCTAATGTTCATAGTTTCCCTGGGGATTTACAGTTATTAGCCATCACCAGGCACCAAGCCTTCCTCACTTACCGGACCGCCGTGATCGCTACTGTCTTCGCTATCTTGCACGGTCCTTGCAACATCCTTCCTCTCGCCTCTGTCGTGCTTTAACTTTTGCCCTTCCTGCGGTTCCTGTTCCTCTTCACCACCTCCCTCTTTCTGTCCAGTTATCTCGCTTACAGGATTCTCTTTGTTTGTATTTCTAATATTTCTCCTCGTGTTGTTCCTTCTTTGCCCCCGTGGAGAGTCCCCCTTCCGCAGTTTTGTATATCCTTAACCCGCATCACTAAAGCTTTTACCCCTCCTATGGTTCTAAAACTCCTTTTCCTTGAGCACTTTTCTTCTCACTCCCGATCCGTTTCCATCTTCCCTGATGGGTCTAAGTCTGCAGACGGTGTAGGCTACTCTGTTGTTTTCCTGATTGCACTTACATGTGTCGCTTTCCTCTGGAGACTAGCATCTTCACAGCGGAACTTTGCTATTCTCTATGCTCTTTGTCTTCTGCTTTCTCGTTGTCAATCTTCCTTTGTAGTTGTTGACAATCGTAGTGCCCTCATGGCTCTTGGGTTCTTTAATCCGGTTCATCCAGTGGTTGTCGAGATCCAGCATTGGCTGTTTCTTGTTCACAGTAAATTTGTCGGTTGAGTTTTGCTGGGTTCCCAGCCATATTGGTGTCTTTAAATGAGCGTGCGGATGCTGCTGCCAGGGAAGCTGTCCGCTCTTGTCCCATCTCCCGTAAAAGTATTCCTTATTCTGACTTTTACCCGGTTATTCATTCCTCCATCCTTACCCGTAGGCAGGCTTGTTGGTCTTCTGTTACTGGTAAAAAACTGCGTACTCTTAGAGTCGTGTGTTCTCTTGACCGTCCTCCTACTACCGTAACCGGCGATGGGAAACTGCTCTGGCGAGGTTGCGTATTGGCCATACTCGTTTAACTCATGGTCACTTGAAGCGCCGTTCTGCTCCATATTGTCCAAATTGCATTGTCCCTCTTACGGTTGTGCATATCCTTGTTGAATGTCCTGACTTCTGGGACGAGCGTGTGTCTTTTTTCCGACTCCCCTGCAGTTGCTTGTCTCTCGATAGTCTTCTTATTGACTTGGATACTTCTGATATCGTTCGCCTTATGCGTTTCTGTTCTCGTGTTGGCATCCTTGGTGATATTTAGCGCCCTCTGATTATCCCGCACATTTGATGGTGCTACATAGCCTTCCCGGTTTGGTGCCTTCTATTGATAATTACTTACTTGTGGGACTGAGCACAGAGGACAGGACGGTGACCTTGTGGGACTGAGGACAGTGGACAGGACGGTGACCTTGTGGGACTGAGCACAGAGGACAGGACGGTGACCTTGTGGGACTGAGGACAGTGGACAGGACGGTGACCTTGTGGGACTGAGCACAGAGGACAGGACGGTGACCTTGTGGGACTGAGCACAGAGGACAGGACGGTGACCTTGTGGGACTGAGCACAGAGGACAGGACGGTGACCTTGTGGGACTGAGCACAGAGGACAGGACGGAGACCTTGTGGGACTGAGCACAGAGGACAGGATGGAGACCTTGTGGGACTGAGCACAGAGGACAGGACGGAGACCTTGTGGGACTGAGCATCGATTTAACGTCTGCTACCTACCTTAGAAAAAAAACTACCTTACGTAAATTCTGGGGATCAATGACCCTATGGCCCGGTCTCTGTCCGTGGCTCCTGATTAGTCGATTCAATGTTGAAATAGTGTCGATTTAACGTTGCAATAGCGTCGTTTAACTGTTGCAATAGTGCTGATTTAACGTTGCAATATCGTCGTTTTACCGTTGCAATAGCGTTGTTTAACCGTTGCAATAACGTCGTTTTACCGTTGCAATAACGTCGATTTAATGTCTGCTACCTACTTTACGCAGCTTCCGGGGATCAATGTCACCGCGGCCCTGTCTCCGTGGATCAATGTCACCGCGGCCCGGTCTCCGTGGATCAATGGCACCCGCGGCCCGGTCTCCGTGGATCAATGGCACCCGCGGCCCGGTCTCCGTGGATCAATGGCACCCGCGGCCCGGTCTCCGTGGATCAATGACACCCGCGGCCCGGTCTCCGTCCAGGCCTCTCGGTTGGTCGTCTGTCCATAAATTTTCAAAATTCATGGATCAGGCAACCAACCGGGAGACCGGGCCGCGGGGGGCATTGATCCACGGAGACCGGGCCCCGGGTGCCATTGATCCACGGAGACCGGGCCGCGGGTGCCATTGATCCACGGAAGCTACGTAAGGTAGGTAGCAGACGTTAAATCGACGTTATTGCAACGTTAAATTGACGGAATCGACGGTATTGCAACAATAAATCGCCGCTATTGCAACGATAAATCGACGATATTACAACGTTAAATCGACGCTATTTCAACGATAAATCGACGGTATTACAACGGTAAATCGACGGTATTGCAACAATAAATCAACGTTAAAGCGACGCTATTGCCACCGTAAATCTACTGTATTGTAATATCACCAATTTCAAATAGTCGATTTTACGTTGCAGTATCGTCAATTAAATGTTTTTAATACTTTTGCTCTAATGTTGAATAAACCTTTGTTTCATCCTTTGAATATTGTAGATTTGACGTAGAAATATCGTAGATTGAACATTGCACAAGCGTCGATATAGTGTTGATTCGACGTTTATTCAACGTTCCAATTGCGTCGATTTAACCATGTCCATCGATGCAATAGCGTCGAGTATGTCTGATATCCAACGGTGCCTCCAGCGATATCCTCTAGATATCCCCATATATCTCATTTTATATATAATCTTACCTTACCTGTCATGCTCAGTCCGCAATTATCCAAAGACGATACTAAATATTTATCTGCAGGTTATATGAAACAGTTTCAATCACTATTGCAAAGCATTTTTTATTTTATCTTTAAAGTGGTTCTGTAACATACAAACCACAAAGACAAGGTGATTAAACAATACGGGACAAGCACCAGTGTTTTAATGTATATAGCCGTCTTTGAGGATTTAGATATTTGTATATAACCGGGCTAATTAAATGTAATTAGGTCAACGCAATACACAAGTGATTATTGTATCAAGTTTTTATAATTTAAATAATATACAAGTACAATCACACACAGATAATCACACTAACGTGATGCATCAAATGAACAAATCCACAAGGGCCGTGACGAGGATTCGAACCTGCGTCCAGGAGCATCCCAGACGCAGGTTCAATTTATACAAGTACATTTTACATAAAAAAAACATCAAAATTCAAACACTTCTGTATACATCGAACTTCTCTGGGCTTATGAAAAAATTATTGCATGGAATATTACTTCACTAGGTATTAGTAAAGAGAATGGAGTAATTTAAATGTGACCTCTGAAACCCACTATTAAATACCAGCCAATCTTAGAATAGATCATGAAATCATGAAAATGGCTTTTTCTAAGTGACCCGCGTATGTGTAAGATATTCACAGGTGTTCGGCTTTTATTTAACTATTTTAGAGTTACAAGCCGAATTTGTTGTATTCTTTACTAACCAAAACCAAGTGAAGACACCGAGATATAGTCTGATATGTCGGTAAACAAACTAGTAGGAATATTTATAGAAATAAACCGTAAAAAAGTATAAATATACAAACTCTGAATGAGAATACAGCCTTGAGAAATTCGGTCTAATTATTTACATTAACCGTAACTGTCATCTAGCCTTAATACTTGGCGATGAGGACTTAAAGTATAAAGAAAGTAACCTACTCAATCCCTAATCCACGTAGATTGTCCATTTTGGACATGCTATTATTCCTGGCATATGACCCGACACTAAATTGTCATGCTGGCAAATGAAAGCCTAGGCACAAGAAAGTGATTTTGGCCCCTTTTATTTGAACAAAATGTTTGGAATATTGACAACTAAAGAAAACTCTGCAAGATAATTTAGCAGGATTTAATCTACTGTCACGTCCCGGTCTGAATATTTCGCAGTGTGTGTTTATTACCAAGATACAGCCTGGGATCATGTCTCATCCTCACTTTCTTCTGGCCCAGTGTAGGATTGTATACCACTTAGGGAGACCGCCTTAGCCATTTCCTCGCCACAAAGGCACTATCACTGCAACAGTCTGTGGCACAGTCACAATATCCAGCTGCAGCAATCTGTGGCAGTCAATATCCAGCTGCAGCAACAGCCACGTGCAAGAACCAAGTGTGGAGCAGCAGCAGCAGCACGTCCACCTCTCACCAAGCAGCAGACGCCACTGTTGTGCCTCTTGTCTCTGCCTTTTATCTGTCTTAATTACCGGAGACGGTTGGCAACCTTCCCTGTGTTCAGCTTCAGAGGTGACTGGAGAGGTCCAACATCTGTCGCAATGGTTTAATTCTGCCAGACTCCAGTAACGCTGCAAACACATCATGCAGCTGACCTGCAAGTACAGAAATATTAATTATGCGTCGAGCAAAACTGTAAACCATTGTACACACAAAGCGCTGCTTGTCCATATGAACTGCAGCCCAACAACAAAAAAATTATGTTTTAGATAAAATTGCCATTTAGTAAATCCAGCAGGATGACCATATTTAAAGTTTAATGCGTATTTCAATAATTTATAAGTTAACTATTAGTTAAACTCAGTTCTAGCGATAACGCTCTTTATCAAGTGTTCCTTATCCTTGTCTTCTATACTAACTAGCTGGAAGCCTCTGCCAAGATGAGCAGTAACAGTTGGCTCTATCCCAGCTGTAGGCATTAGTATTCACTCGCCACGAGAAATGGTTTACCAGCCCTAGTTTAATGCATCCAAGACCATTTAAATTTTATTCGAAATTTACTAAAAGGGGACAATAATAGTTTTATTCTTTGTCA